GCTCAATATCATTTTTCTCTCTTTATTAACGTTATCGATAATTCTTAACCATAAAATATCTTTATTGGTGCAGTGAATAATCCATACAATTATTTAATTATAATTAAGTATGGTTCAATTCGATTTATTGTTGTTTTTATTAATAATTTGATAGTATTCAATGGAATGTTATATTTTTATATGTAAGAATTAGATATTTATATTTAAGGATTTTTGGAGCAATAATCATTAGAATTAGGATTTCTTATATGTTCTGTTACATTCTTTCGTATAATATATTACAAGAATGCCTTATGAACGATCAACTTATCTTGCAACGTCGATTCGTATCATTACTCGGAAGTTATTTTTGAAAGGTAATCGCCAGCTGTTCTGGCTTTTCGCTGGTCTCAATGAGCCGGGGCTGCACCCTGCAGTTGAGCGGGCTGATTCATATACACTTTACGAAATGTACCATTTCGTAATATGGCTGGCGAATGTGTGCGATTTCATCGGTCTCGATTTACTCTGTTTTAAAAACTGAAAGTCTACGTCAAACTGAAAGTTTCTCACCTGCCATGAGTTAGGAATCTACTCTAGATTAATTACTCTATAGATCACTTTATAGATTACTTTATATCACACTATAGTAACTACAATATGAATCAACATTTCTATTATTTAATATTTCATTTATCTTTTTAATAATTATTTACTTATTGAATTCAAATTTTTCTCTACCAAACTTCGAGTTCATATTATTTTATCCTAAAATACAATATTCCCAACAAACAATTGAGTAATTACTCTTTTATGAAATAAATTTGTATCGTCGCAACACCACAATTATTTCTCAAAAAAAGGAAGCCAGTAATCTTGATGTTATCATTTAATAACGTGCAATTTCTTGAAAACTATGACGTTCTTAGTTCAGTAAAAAGCTAGATTGTTGAAATCACGTACCGTGCAACGGCGTGTATCGTCGCGCGTTTGACACGCGTGAAAACGAAACGATGGAGACGGCTCAGCGGATGTGAAACTCGAAATTACGAGGCAGCCTCATCTCGAACCATTGTCACTTGGGACAAATGGCACGCCGTACCACTGCCTTTCGAGCGTCCACCTGTTTGTTCAAGTTAATGACGGAACAAGCTGATCTTTCGGATAGTTAACCGTCCGTCGACATTTCGTGAATTTTACGGGTATTATTCTCATCGTCGTTTCCTGACGGAAAATGTTACAGCGAAAGTTCTTGGAAATGTTTAGGGTGACGCGGAATCTCGGCGTTGAATTGCATTGTTACCAAGAATTCCCGTTTTCTGCGTGTGTTCATTATGAGATTTAAATTTTGCGGTGAATGTTGTTGGAACAATTAACGCTTGAGATAGCATTTTATATTTTCGGACCAAACGAATTGGATGATCCAGTGAATACTTTGAGCTGCGAATTACCTTCACGCGTGGTGAACAATAGATTTTCCCTGGGTGAATTGTCTAATTCGTTTAATGAAACTAACAATTACAAAATATAAATTTTTAAATTGATTCGAAATGATTTAATCATTTAGATAATTTAAATTTAAATGATTTAAACTTAAATGATTTAGATAATTTAAATTGATTGATAATTTTAAGTTGATTCAAGTTGATTTAACGATTTAAATAAATTAGATTTAAACGATTCAAATGATTTAAACGTAAATGATTTAAATGATTTAAATTGATGGATGACTTCAAAGTGATTTAAATTGTTTTAAGTTGCTTCAAATTTCCAAAATTAATGGAACTTTTGTTTCAATTATTTGAACTACTTTCAACTATCGGAATATTAATAAATCCATTCCATAATTATACTCAATTCTATAAGAACTACACAAATCCCAAGCAAGAAATATTTTCCAAAAATTAATTTAAATTACTACCACCACTATATTAGAATTAACAATAGCATCACTATTTCCAATCGAATCATTTCAACACACACATATTAATTACCAAAATCTCACAATTATTACCTCACACATAGTCAATAAATTCGAAACCCCCAAATTCGATTATTCACGTAACGAAAATCGAAGGTTACCAATGTGTCGCTAAATAGTCCCTACTGTACAAAATGATTTTTATTTAAAAAATAACAATTTTGTGCAAATAAAGTCCGTTTCTCTATTTACATAACGTTTGAGTCGTAACGCAAAATATCCATTGTCATTGAAAAACTTCGTAATATTCCCATAATGTAAAAATAATACAGCCACCATATGTTTAGCTCTATACCTTCCAACTTTTGTCTGAAGCATTTTTTTTCTATCGCTCATACTTTTTAAGTTATTGAGTTTTGTCCAAGAAACGGCCGCACTGTGCGCTGTGTTGAACGGCTCAAATGGAACACACCGATGAAGTGGAAAACGAATTGCTCATTACGCATGGGAGAAAAAGCGGAACTTTGTAGGCCCCACGGTCGCCGCTGATTAAGTATTAGAGGAACGGTTCACACAAAGAGGCGCAGCTACGCATTCGGAATATAAGATACAGTCACACTTAGAAATAGACGCGCTAGTAAGTAGCTTGTTCGCGGTGTTAAAAGCCATTAAGAAAGTGTGGTTTCAGCGTGTTGTGGCTCGCGTGCAACGCGCCCATCAACACTTTCCTTTGTCGTTTGAACACTAAAGAAAAAACCGCAAGCACACGCACAGTAGCCGTGACAACTTCGACGATCCATTCACCCTTGCAGCTGAAGCCTTCATCATTTGCGCTCGCACACGTCCGACGCTTATTTGCATTCCAATGATACAAATGGTACTTCTTTACATTGTCCTAATTGTCTTTGCACGGATCTGTTTTCACTTTGTAATGAACCGGGAAAACGGACGGTCTGCGAAACGTTTCGGAAACATGAGAGATCGCTAATTGAATATCCCGATTGCCAGGAATTTGATTGACACTAGGTTTTAGGAATATTTAAAACGATAAGTATTCAATGAAATATTTCGTTTGGACATTTAAGAATATTCAAAACGGAAGACGAACTTGAGAACATCCGTTATTTATTTTATAATCGGTAAACATGTTTCGTTTAATATCGTCTTTGTGTCTTGTTCTCTGGATTTGTCAACATTGAATTTATCTGTTTCGAAATATTTATTTCCCTTGATATAATTTACTAAATACGCATTCGATTGTAAGAATTAGATAAAATTTATTTTAGATAATACTTCGTTTTATCAAGATTATTCTATTGTTTCTGGGAAATTGATGTTCGTTGATTTAGATATTGGAAGTTAGAGGTTTACAATTGAACAATTAAATGTAATATTAATAACAATTAGATGACCTAAGAACATTTAAAATTGTTTAAATGCAATATTTAAAGATTAAAGTTTAATATTTTCGTAGGAGAAGAACAATTTATTGCAATAAACGATATTTGAATGATAAAACTTTTATAATTACTCAGGGCTCAGAAACGCAATATTTGAAAATGAATTTTTATATGTAGTATATGCATTCGAATTCGTTCGTTTGACTTGCACACTTTCTGGAACATTCTTTCGTTACCATTAATTAACTTCAAGTACATTTGGAATATTTCAAATTCATTCGGTATGTATGTAAAATCAATAATCTAAAATATTCCGAACATCTTAAACATTTATTCATGATACACATGCACTCATATCCACTCAATACACCCATACCTACATTTTTAATTTAGAGCTTCTAAAGATAAGTCTAAATTTTATAAGAAAAGATATATAATGACCTTCAATATTTAAAGCATCAAATTTTTATATATTTTTCATTTTATTATATCATATTGTATCATTATAATATTATATCATTCTTTATATCATATTCTATGATTAAGAAATAACTTTCATAATGCACAAAATAAAAAAAATCTACTTTCAAATAAACTAAACGATCAACTAGCGAAACAGAAAGGAACAAACTTATATTTTTACAAACTTCTGCAGCGTAAATGAACATCAATATCTTCTTTCTAAAATGGCCGTCTCACGGTGAAAGTTTCTCTTCGAAATACACAGTCGACCAGGTGTTTCGATAATCTATACAATATCTATTAGAAACAACCTAGACGAATATCAATTAGCAGAAAGAAACATTCCAATTAATTTAGCGGATTCCCAACGTATTCGAGGTGTTGCTGTATTCTTTTATGTCACGCTTTCTGTATGCACTTTTACCTTAATCGTGGTCCGAATTATGCTCCCGTACCCGTGAAACTTATAAGACCAACGAAAGAAAGTAGCCGCCTCCGCTAACCAGTCGCAAGCATCCAGCGAACACCGAGTTCTCGGAATAAAATCAAACGGCTAGATCTCTATCGAAGTAAATTAATTAACGCATAACTGCGGCAAGATACGCAATGATCGCCGGGGCAGCATGTTTAGAGAAAATACGGCAGAACGAACGAATAGAATCTTGCAAGAAGTTAATCGGTTCCGTTTCGAAAGATGCACGGTGAAAGGTAACGGTGCGGGAAAATATCTTGATCGTGTAGTCGCTTCATCTTCGTTTCAAGTTTCACTGTAAAATAATCAATGACCTTCATAGTTCAGATTTCAAGTTGTCCCGTTGACTCCTGATAGAATTGTGCAGTGTAAAATTAATTATGAAATATTTAACACGTTTAGTGTCGCATGTAAATACCACGTGAGTCGCTCCGAAGCCAATGCGGTTAAGTCTATTTTTTTATGTTTCCGATTTTTGTAAATTTTAATAGAATGAATAATATTTTTAGTTATCAAAGGATTTACTCGTTTCTTCGTTCTTTTTCTAGGTTAAAAAGTCCTTCTTTTTATAGCTTCTGAATATCTTATTAATCGTATTAATCGGTTGTTCTAATGTTAAACTAGTTCTTCCACTTTAGTTCAATAAAATATTTAATACCATAAAAGTTGCTGTAGTGGAGCCTATAGAGTGTAAAGGGTTAATTATTATCCGTCCAAAAACTCTCTCCATCGATCATTGCTCTCTAACAATCGCATTTCTTTGCAGGTGACGATGGCGGGCGATTATATTCTGGCGATAGTGTCGATTATGATATCGCAACTTCGAAACGACGATGTCACCCTCACTCTTAGTCAGGTAAAACTCGTACTTACCTTCGAACTTTCTATTTTTTTTCATTGATTCTTATATTGGGTTGATGCAGAAACTTTGATGTTTTTTTTGTAAGAAATAAGAAGAAGAGTTCTTAACTGTTCACTGGCTAAATAAAAACTAAGAAAAGGATCCTAATTGTTTGATTTTGATAGTTTTTTGTGAAATGATAGCATACGTGTTCGTAATGATACGTGTAAAATATTAGATGTAGTCACTTAATAGTTTTGTTGATGTAAACAATTAAACTTAAAGTGGGCTCACTGACTGCTTCGTCATTTTTTATTCAAATAACGAATCTTTATTTCATTATTTTATAGAATTATGTCTTCGATATTATTAATTTATCGCATCTTCTTCGAACGTTAACTCGTTCCACACATTTATTGATATTTTAATACGTACGTAAAAGTATTCACGATCCCCCGGATCCTGATATAATCCTGATTATAAGTATTGACAAGTCCAGGTGCTTTCCAGGTCGTGACGGACCTGGTGCAGGGTGAATTTATGCAACTCGGGTCTAAGGAGACGGAGAACGAGAGATTCGCGCACTACCTCACGAAAACATATCGCAAGACGGCCAGTTTGATCGCCAATTCTTTGAAAGCTGTAAGTTCGAAACGGTTGCGTACGATTTAACACTAAAACTACCGAGCAGTTAAATTGACATTTTGAAATTCGTCTATAAAAACTCGAAAAGTGTATCTATTGAAACTTTAATTGATTTACAATTCGGTTTGCGCGTTGCTAAACCAATTTCTTTAATCATTTCTTAGAGTGGCATCTGTTACCTTTATAATCATTGCAAAAAGGAGACATCAGGATTGGGTCATTTTGACCCGTCTGGTAGTTTTAGTGTTAATTTGAGTTTATGATAAAAAGGAGCCGTTTTGTGGTAGGTGGCCATGTTAGGAGGCGCTGACGATCAGCTGGCGGAACTAGCTTTCCAGTATGGTAGAAATGTTGGTTTGGCGTTTCAATTAGTTGACGATCTTTTGGATTTTGTCTCGACATTAGAAGCAATGGGCAAGCCCACCGCGGCTGACCTTAAACTCGGTCTTGCGACTGCTCCAGTTCTTTTTGCATGTGAACGGGTAAGATTGAGTCCAATACTTAGAACGAAAGTAGTATTAGAAAATATATTAAACGACGAAGAAATAGAAAATGTTTTAGGTTTCCATTTTTCAAATACTGAGATTCAAATTTTTTAGTGTTTATTTTTTATTATTGATTTCAGTGATAGTACTATGTAAAAATCTGCCTGAATAAGTAATAGTCGTTTCTATGCAGTTTATTTTTAGCAAAATGTTATGTCTTCTGTACTTTAATTACCACCTTGAACTCGAAACTTTCTAAAATAAGACTTATGTAATTCTCCTTGTGACCGTGGATATATGCAAGATCAACATAATAACAAAAATCTAAATTCAAAGTAGAAATACAGTATTTGTTGTTTGGAATAATATTTATTTACAAATTTTTATGGTAGAAGAAACAAGTTACGCAGATGAAAATATTTATGACGAACGTGTAATCAATGATCATAATTGAGAAATTTAGTCGTTACAAATAATAAGATCAATGAGTTGTAATTAAAATATAAATTTATCGCAGAGAAATTAGAAAAATGCTATATTAATTTAATTCTAATTTATTAACGTTTTCTAATTTATTAATGTTCTCTAGTGAAAACTAACACTTCAGATCGCAGAAAGTTAATATTCCTTCAAGTACAATCATTTTTCTTTTTGTTACAGTATCCAGAATTAAATGCAATGATCATGCGCCGGTTTCAAGAGCCAGGGGACGTTGAAAAAGCTTTCGAGCTGGTACACAAGTCACAAGGTCTCGATCAGACGAGATTTCTAGCCCGGAAGCATTGCGTAGAAGCCGTGAAACTCGCACAATCCTTAGCTGAAAGTCCATACCAAAAAGGTTTGCAGGTCGTCTGCGATTTAGTACTCAATCGTATGAAGTAGTGATGTGAGAATTCACGATCGTTACGCGAAAGAGAAATGAGTAATGTAGTCGTGAACAGTTGATGTCAGCACTGGTCACTAACATTGTCAACCGAAAGTTTTATCGGAAAGAAAAGATAGGAAGTACCTTCGATACGTCAAGCTGATAACTAGGGCAAATATGAAAACCGAGAAGTTCATGGTATTCCTTAAAAATACCTGGTGCGTGTTCAAAACACGCAACGAATGTGTTCTATCGATTATCACTGAAGATACTTGCACTTTTATAGAAACTTGTCCGTTTACAACTTGCAAGTTTAAAATGGTTATTGTTAGAAAATCTTACTAGAGAATTGTTCGAACTATTTTATAAAACCGAGAAAGTTGATGAATAACGGGAAATTATTTTTATAAATTTTCATATAGGAAGTTGCGAAGTTTGATGATGATTATTGTCAGTGTGACAATGTTGAAACATGCATAACGTTATCATTGATATTATCTTGGAATTAATCGTTTCAATTTTTTCTTGCATATATTTTCCCGTTGGCAGTATGTGTTCAATTATTCGCGGAATAATGGAGACGATCGATCATGAAGTCCTTAGGTATATTTTGCAAAAGAGAGAGAGAGAGACGCACCGTATAAAAAATGTAAAAAAACGAGCGGCAATGTTTATTTCGCTCAACAGCACACATATTACCTGATTTTTATGGATATTGTTAATCATAACTGTAAATAAAATAATGTGTAGGATTAGTTAAACTATATTAGAACTGGTAACTCTTCCTGATTGTTCTCTTACCGATGGATAGGCTGAAATGTTTTTGGTATGTCAATAATGAGATCACTAAATTAAATCATATTCTTATAAATTACACGCTTAAAGATATCACAAACAAAGTTTATCACGTAATGAGGAAATAGATTTTGCGGAACAATTTTTTTATTCTTTTTTTATAAACAATATAGATTCTTTTATTATACAAGCACATGACAATATTGATAAGACATGTAATATTTCAAGAACAACAATCGCAAGAGTATCAGTACTAAACAATAGTATAATTTAATGTCTTGTTGAAAATGTGCGAAGAATGTCTACCAAAGAAGACTTTATAGTCTTGATTCTTTCGCTCATTTCATAAAAATGAATTCTGACTCATCAAGTATTGTAGGAATTATTTCGAATTGGCATATTATATACAACTGAAACTAGTAGGTGTTTATATTATTGTGAAATTAACCATAATTTTTAATTGAAAGGTTTTCAATGATAATTAAATACCATCTTCTACAAGTTTTTTTTACCTTGATAGTTGCAAAAGATGCTCAAAATATTATTTACTATATATGTAACTGAACATATAGGAATAAATGTATAATAACTTTTATTTATAACGTGAATTAATGTATATAATTGCTCTGTAAGGTAACAAAAATCACTGCTGTAAGATTATTAATAAAAAATACTGCAAACATGTAATTACGATCAAATGTAGATTTAAGTTAGGATAAAAATTGGGACAGCAAAGAGAAAGTAAATGAAGCTCTCGATCTCCTGCGTAAACACGACTTTTATTTATAAAACATCTGGATCTGTGTATATTGCAGTGAAAATTTTATTGTTTCAAACTAGAAAACAGTTTATACATATATACATATATATACAAATAATTTATTTATGACCATTAACTAAGTATGGAAGTGAATACCTTTGACAGTAGTCTTATAAACGAGCTGCACTGTATAAATGTACTGGTACTATAAAAAGAACAATGGAATGTTGTTTATATGTAAACATGCAATTGTAAATATGCGATTTTTTGTAAGCACGCTCTAGATGCATAATTTTCAATGTTGATAATAGGGAAAATTTCAGAATTACATCAAAGTGGAATTTTTCTAGCTTAATTAGATCGATTAGCTTCATTATTACTAAATTGTAAACCATAAGGTTTAATATTTTATTTGTTGTGTTGGGATCACTAAATCCATGTTATAAAAATTATATACTATAATACCTTTTTAATATAAACGTTATACGAAAGTCTGTTTCTTTTTTTAAAGTCTTCATTTAGTCATTGTAAATTATTGGACCCTAAAATATTTAATAAAAACCTTTATCCCTCAATAATTTATAAAATAAAACAAGCTTTCTTTAAATAAATTTGAATACTTGTCACTGTTATAATTGTATTCCTACATTCTTTTGCAAGCCCTAACATACTGGTTCATAACATGCATTAATTTGTACTTTATACTCTTAAATTTTAATACATAATATATACAAAATGAGTTTAGAGCTTTAGATAGATAGTTTTATTAGAATTAGAAAATAATTAAATACTATATATTTTGCTTGAAAAACGTGAGTTACATTTATTGAAAGGATGAAGTCATTCTCTTTTTCATCTGAAATCTATTCTCTTATTAGTACAATATTCGATATATTATACGATTCAATTGCGTAATACCACTAAATATTTCCATACAAGAAAGATACTCATTTCGGCTGGTAATTTTGAATCCATGGAAGCAAAGTAGACATCTGTTTTGATCGACGGGTATTCGGTCGGAAAAGCAAACATAGATGTCGCACTGATTCTGTTTGAAAAGACCTAACTGAAAATAAGCGCCAAACACATAAGGTCCCGTGTTCTGTCATCCGGTTACTTCATAACAAACTCCGTTCGTATTTAGTAAAACATCAAAATTATGGCAAGTTTATTAGATCTCTGTGAACAGTATTTTGGTGCTCGTGATTTCTATGAGGTTCTTAAAATTCCAAGAACCGCCAATGATAAACAAGGTAGATATACATAACCTTTATTGTAATGTTTCCAGTTTTCATTCTTAATAATTCACATCAAATATAAAGTGATTGGTATATATAATTTTATATTATCATAGCTACATTATTTTTCTTAATATTTTGCTAGTGAAAAAAGCATACCATCAGCTGTCCCTGCTGGTACATCCGGATCGTGTTGAGGAAGATGTCAAGGCAGAGGCTACAGAAAAATTTAAAGTTCTTGGACGAATTCATTCTATTCTCAGTGATAATGAAAAGCGTAAAATATATGATCAATCAGGCCAATATGATGAAGAAAGTGAGGAAGTTATGATGCAGAATTGGTCTGATTATTGGAAATCTCTTTTCAAAAAGATTACAGTGGAAGATATTAACAATTATGAAAAGAATTACAAAGGATCTGAAATAGAAATCAAAGATCTAAAACGTGCTTACATGGACAGTACGTAAATTTAACTGTATGAATTATATGTATTATTTGGAGTATATACATATATGAAATTTTTTTTAAGGCGAGGGAGATATGGATTATATCTTTGAAACTGTTCCATTCACAAATTGTGATGATGAACCTAGATTACATGATATTATTCAAGGCCTCATAGAAAAAGGTGAAGTACCAGAATTTAAGGCCTTCACAGAAGAAAGTGAAAAGAAGAAACTGCGCAGAAAACGTAAGGTAAGTGATAACTTCGAAGACGAAGAAGATTTATTTCTTATTTATTTATTAAATTATCAAATTATTTATTAGTTTATTTGAATACAAGTTATTTATTCATGGTTTTGCAAGTAACAAATCTTTTTTTGTGATTTTAAAAAAGATTGTAAGAAAATCTCATTCTTTGTTTTCCAATATAATATATATCTATCTTAATGAATACTTCACCCATATATATAAAATAGGAAATATTACTCTAAATATTCTTTTATTTCCCGACCCTTTGTATTCCCCCATAATTAAAGTAATTAAAAAAGTTCAAAAGAAATAAAACAGGATCAACTAATGAAATTAGATAATCATGATACTATAGAATACACTTATCTAAATGCTATCAACGAACAGAATAAAAATACATTTCCCTACTATTACACTTTAATAATATATTACTATATTTTATTTATAATATATGTCCCTATATTGTCGCGTAACACTGCAAGTGGCGATGCGCTCATAAATTCGATCACGATCCCCACCTTTCGCCTGGTTCACGTCACATCAGAGATCTGATGAACAAGTGAGCAGCGCGCTATTTTCAAGCTTTTCTATTTTTATCAGTAGATAGTACTCCTTCATGATTGGAAGTAGTAGGAGGTGGACTAGTAGTACGAAGATCAGAGAAGGGGGAGTACTAGTAAATAAGTAAAGAGGGAACGCAAGAGCGAGTTCAGTCTAAAGAACAATTAGGCCGGTTCTAACCTGCTGCTAGAGGCATACAAATTTTCGGCTAAAATCCCTTCCACAATGATCGTGAACTATTAAATCATCGTACGTCACGCTACAGAATAATGAAACGTGTCTTCTGTCACGACAGTAATCACCAAACTTCGCAGACAACCGTATAATAAAGAAAAAAAATATATAAAGACAATCTTATAAAACGGTACTTAAAATGGGTGGTATAATCGGATTGTTATTATTGACTTTTCTGTGTTCAAGTGTCAAAACAGTGCGAGGCGAGTGCAGGCAAGTGAAAAACGACGATCTGATCGAATATTCATGCGTAAACGGACAACTGTCCGACCTGGACAGCCTTCCGGCGTCGACGGGGAAAATTAGAATCTCAAACATGCCAATCTATCGGATAACAAAGGATACATTTTCAAAATTCGGTTCCGATCTCTGGGTCCTCGGCTGCTCTCACTGCGCAATAAGAGATATTGAACCGGGCGCTTTCCAACATCTAGACAACCTTCAACAACTAAGCTTAGACAACAATTACCTGCCCAGCATCAAGGAATCCTGGTTTAGGGGTCTGAATTATTTAACGTACTTGGACCTAAATTACAACAACATACAAACCATCGAAGACGGCGTGTTCAGAACCCTGCCAAGCCTGGTCGATCTAAGGCTTTCCGGTAACCGTCTAGAGTGTCTGAACCTACGAGACATGTCTAATCTGAAAGAGCTCAAGAGAATCTTCTTAACCGAGAACTCAGAATTCAAGTGTCCCAATGCGGTGAGCGCGTATCTGACGAGTCACGGAGTGAGCTTCGAGAAAGATACTGAGTGGAGCAAGATTCCCGAGGACGAGGTCTATCAGAATGGTTACTCAGACGATTATGACGACTACTACGACACTACCACTACTACAGTTATGCCTACATTCCGCGAAAGACTACATCTAACAACGACAACGACAGCACCACCAGAAACTACCCCACCGTACCTACCACCAAGGTTCCAGACGACCGAAGACGTTATTTATCATCCAGACCCGAGAGTTATACACTGGAGAACAACACCGAAGCCAACAACAACGCCAGAACCAGCAACAACACCAAAGCCACCAATGACAACCCCCCGCGCGGAAGAGACATACTACAGGGAAGTGTTACCCTACGAAGAAGAGACATTCTACAAGGAAGAGTCACCCTACGAGGAACAGGACATCAGACCTTATACTCCACCTAGGACCATCGCTCCCCTGGAATCAGACAGGAATTCCCAGATGACAGACGGCACGCAGCTGAGCGTTGACGAGGCGACCTTGAGATCTTGGCCCATACTCCCTGAACCAACTAATGTCAGGCCTGAATACTCGCCTAACCCACCCTACGGGAATGAGAACAGACATAACGAAGGTTCATCTGATTCGGGCGAACCTCCATTACCGTTGGCAGCTGGCCCAGTTGACGGTCATGAAACACCATCTTTCGTGGAATCTAATGTGGGGCGCACCACCGAATCGCAGACAAGTAATCAGCAGCAGATGTACCTGCCCGTTAACAGTGGGGGTTATCCAGTTATCACCAATTCCCCAAGTATCTTGGAGCCGATGCAATCACGGGGTCCCGACGCGCGACCTCCAGTAATACATAATAATCCAGTAATAATTCAACCGCCCTCGCCGGATAACAGTTATCAGACGCCCTATTACGAGTACCCCGTGACCGTGCACCCGCCGCCACCTGTCTACTATCCTGTAGCTCACATGGACGGAACAATGACGACCACCGACAAACCGTTACCTGATTGTCCGAGCTCGTCGTCGCCGATACAGCGATCCGTTGAATTGATCGTTCTCTCGATTCTGATGGTATTCGTCAGGAATGCCTTTGTGGAGGGATTTTAGCTAAAAATTGTAACCGATGTTAAGTAGTAATTTTTGTAACCGAGAATGAATCGCCAGCGTGAACCTGTGCGGGCATTTACGTTCGTCATCTGTCGTTTTAATGTTATTCATGGGACATTGAGGACGATCTCTATTAAACGATTAATCATAAGGATTGGACTCGGTAATTGGTGTGCAGCTGGATTCTGCGTTTTCTCTTCGGACGGAACCAATCTACGATCAATGGGGGATTGGTTCTAATGGATACCGTAGAGCCTGCAGTGATGATAGTGTACGTACTCATGTTTTTGGTTTCACAGGGTAGGGACGGGTTTTGCAATTTTCACTATTTTTTCACGTATCTGGTTTCACCAGTTGTTTTCGACGCGCTTTTATTTTATCTTTTCTTGATGTTTCTATATACATGACCTTTTTGATCAGTTACGACTACAAAAATATATTCTTATTATCTTTTGTATGTTCAGGATATCTTTTTTATTTTCTGGGGGGGATTAGAGAAAATTGATTGTGGTTAAGTTAACTTAACTGCCGTGTAAAAATATAAATAACATTATTTTTAAATTTCTAGAAAAAATCTTTATTTTTTCGAATTTTTTACTGTAAAAGATTTCTTTTTCAATCTCGATAGCGCAATGAGATGTTTATTTTAGTGTAATCATTTTATCTAATTAGGCTCTTTTATTTTATGTCAATCTCAGTAAAATAAAATTTTTTATAGGCTGAACGAAATTTTTGGTTGATTTAAATTTCCTTAAATTAATGTATAAAAATTTCTATCTTCATGAAATTCCGTGTACTAATACAAGTAATACTACTAACATCAGCGAATTATAACGTTAAATTACTAATATTATGAATATTATATCTATTCTAATTTTGCAATTTTTATTCTTACAAATTAGCCCTTTAAAGTCCACAAATTACTAATAGATACCTAAGTAGGTATTGCACGTATACAGCAACAGGTATGTTAAATAAATCTAATTATAAAACATTAAATTACACAAGAAAAAGTAGGTATATTTTAATAAGAACAAAGATTACGGCTTGTGCGTTACTGATCAAACTATCTACAAGGGTTACAAGCTCAGCCCCTCAGCTCGCGAATTCCCTGTTCATAATAACATCCGCCATTTTACATTTTCTTCCCGCGTACGTTGCGACGCGCTCTCGTTTCCTTCATTCACGAACCGGTTAATGCAAGTGTGTCTCCTAACAGCTAATCTATTCATAAATTCAGTATCGAACGACTCGCCCAGCCGAGCTGATCATCGAGACACACAGGAATGTTGTGTAATGTTGTTTGCAAAGTTGGAATTCCAAATACGATTTCTGTGGCAACGCGTAGCTGAATATCAATTGAAAGTAACAAGCAACGAGGGCCGCGACGTATCCGGTGTGGTAATGAAATAATTACTAATGTCGTCGTCCAATCTAATGCTGGGTGTTATGTAACGACCTTGGCTGATGCATCTGGTCAAGATACTCTGGTTTCTGCGATATTGTATTTTACCGTTGATGATGGAGCTCGTTCAGATAAGCGTTCGCTCTCATTTCCCAATTGTTTTCTCAGCTGGAAGAGTATTACTAACTCGTGAAGAGTGTAGAGTTGAAGGCAGCGATGTTCTTGCGTGACTGGTGTCGAATAAATGGATAAATCGTCTGAAAGGCTTTGCTTTCAATTAGAAACACGCACGATTTTATTCGAATGACATTGATCAAAAGTATGATATCGTTGATTTAATCAGAAGGAAACTTGGATTTCCTGATGTTCAATTTATTTAACGTGGTTTCACTTATTTATTAAATATTTTATTTCTATGTATGTCAGGTTAGCGAATGCAGCTGTAGAAGACTGCTAAGATCACGGTTAAAATTGTAACTTCAATGGAACTTGGATATTTTTGGACTTAAGCCGGCATTAGTAATTTGGTAGATTAACGATTCGCGTCAGAGCTTTTCAGTAGCTTCATTTATCAACCTGGTGAGTGGTTCACTGCAACACCCCATACCAGAGACCTTTGAGCTTAAGGAAGTTGTTCTGGTTGAACTGTAATTGGATAATTCAGACGCCATCTTACTGTCGGCCCATAAAGAGATTATTAATGCACTGATTGGTCTAATGGTCCGGTTAACAGAGATATTTTGCAATTAACGATTTATTCTTATTGCAGAGTGCACGCAAAGTGAAGGTTGTTTCAGAGCGAGTAACTAACTATTTGGAAGCCTGTATCGTCTTTAATAATACCTGTGATTGAAAGATAATATAGATGAGAGAATTTAATTGCCCAGGTAAAGGGTTTTAAAAAACGAAAAGACTGAAGTTTGGTTTTCTAGTTTTCATTGAAAAACTTGAAGATTTTATTTATGATATGATAAAACGTTCCTTTTTAATATGTTACACTTTAACAAGTAAAGTTTCCATTTTGAAATTAGTTTACTGTACTGTGATGTTAACAATATGTTGTATCCTTATTAGCTAATTAATTTTCCGTACAAAAAATTTTATCATTCTTAACATATGAAAGTTGTAACACTGGTCTGTAATTTTCTCTATTAAAACGTTCAAATTTCCTTTTCTAAGATGTTCAACCAAACATATTTTTTACTTCAACTTCAAATTATTGTCATTAATATTTTATTTCTTAACACGTTCGTGACCGAAAACGAGGTTTCTCGTTTTAGCCGATGTGCATGATTTCTTAATTGTTTTATAGATAACTATGTTTTTTGCTTTCGAACATTATCAATCCCGTTATTGAGGATATTTTCAGTAATTTTATTTTTAGAGTTACTTATGTCTAAACAAAAAAAATATATATATTAATTTCAACAAATTATCACAGTTTCATGACACGCCTTTTAAAATAATTGTGCATCTTTAAAATCGCCGGACCCATAGAAAATTGTTAACGGTGGGCAATGTATTAAAAACAAGTGTAGCCTATATAACACATAAGTATTAAAAAAGACCAATAAAAAATCAATGAAACACTTTTACAACAAGAAAATCCCAAAATCATCAGAAGTCTTCACATTCCCCAACTCAGCACTTTTTTTTATTGAAGTTTATTTTAAGATGGTCACATTAGCAGTAAAGTCATTAGTGACCACCATTTGGATACATTATTTATTACTTAGTGATACTTATTACATAATGGCTTGTTGTACAATAATATATTAGTTGTATGAATAAAAATACAAGATTAACGGAATAGATATATGTTAAACATAATAAATTTAGGTCGTTTTATCTGAAAAACTTAAGCACAGTCTGAATACTGTTGGGATCATTTAGGTTCGTCTTCACATCAGATTTAACACTAAAACTACTTGACGAATTAAAATGCTCCATTCCTGATTTCTTTATTTTCCAATTAATAAAATGACAATAGATGTTTCTTTGAGAAATTATTAAAGAAATTGATTTAACAATACGCAAGTTGAATTATAAATCAATTAATCCTTTGCACTCGTGTGTCATTCTGGAGCTGACAATACAAATTTATTATAAAATGTTGGAAATTGTTTGAAAGAATAACACTTTGAAAGATATAAAAAATTAAATCTTATTATAATAACAATAAATAAAATAAATATAAAATGTTGAATTCTACCTCTGTAAATTACTTTAATTCATTTCCCTAAAAAATAAATAGAAGTTTATACCCGACAACATTGAAAAGAAATCAAGTGCAAAGGATTAAAGTTTCAATAGATAGAACTTTTGGAGTTTTTACAGAGAAACTTCAAAAAGTTATTTCAACTGCGGTAGTTTCAGTATTAACACTAGAATTAATGAATGTGTCAATTTGACGTATATTGAATTTTATAAACATCACTTGGTAAACTTTTACGTTGGTTTTTATTGATGTAATTACACGAATATGCCAAAAGTCTATTTCTAAATCCCTAATCCCGAAGATCCTGGAAGAGTTGAATAAACCGTGCAATAAACGTCCGTAAACCTAGTGTTAACGTTACAGTTATTTCTTTTAGAGTAGTAACAGGCGCAATTCATTCCAGTAACTTTAATGCTCCTGACAAATGTATTTCACAAAGTATGCATATAGGCGAGGGTTGCTTTGTTAATAAAAATTCCTGTGTAAATATCGAGTAGCTGGGTAGGCTCTGTAGCCCATTATTCCGATCAGGAAAGAAGGGACCAGACAGTTCTCGCCTCTGAGTCGTGAGAGCCATTAGTACGCTTGAAAGGCGATCGCGTTAAGTGGCAACAAAGCGTGCAGTGTTCGATGTCAAGTTCGAGAGGGGCGCGGAGGGTGGCTTCCTGTATTCTCGGTTGCAACAGGTGTAGACCGGTGTGTTGTCGGCTAAACGGAGCCGCCAATGCCAACTCTAAATAACAGGCTTCGCGGGCGTCCTTGCTTGCGGTAGTGCTCCGAAGTGCATCCGATTGAAGGGGTTCGTTGTGGCCGTCGAGTGTATCTCCGGATCTCGAGCGCGGAGAACACGTGTAGCATCCTTCACCCGAATAACGTTATCTCGTCGTCGCGTCTCTAATTCCCGCGAAATTCCGCATCGGTGACTCGCCGCCAAGGGAATGCATCGGTTGCGCAACACCACGAAACGACTATTTTCAATTATTTCGTGATTCGAATGATTTCCGGAGCGTGTCAGGCGAGCAGCCAGATGTGTCGTTTGCTCTAGACACCGGGAGACGAAGTGATTCAAGGTCGCGGAAGCGCATCGCCTCTGTTACAGAGCGGACATAATACGCCGTTTGATCGTTTGCCACGATTTTCATTCGCAAATAGATTACCAGAATGTGGTTATCGATTGGTTACCGATGTTACGGTATAAATAGCGCGTGTGGAATCGGGCGGCGCATTCCTCGGGCGATAGGCAATCGATTGCTTTTGGGCTTCCGCGATTTGATTGGGCGGTTGGTTTTCTTGGATTTTTGGGGCAGTTTGAGAATGTGTTTTATTTTGCTGAGTTCAAGTAGAATCTAGTAAGACTGAAAGCTATTTTATTTTATTTTATTTTATTTTATTTACTGGAACGATTCTTTATGGGAATAGCATTGAAATAAAATATCGCATTGACACTAAACCTACTGAAAAGTTAAGTTGACTTTTTGAAATTCCTCTATGGCAACTTCAAGAGTGCATTTATCGAGACTTTAATCGATTTATAATTCAGTTTGCGTATTGCCGTTCAATTTGTTGAATAATTTCTCAGGTAATATCTGTTATGTTTTTAATAATTGCAGAAAGGAAAACTCAGGAATGGCTCATTTTGATCTGTCCG